CTGCTGTGAGCTCAGGTTGGGAAGTCACTCAACTTTTGAGGAAGAAGAGGGCAAAGCTGAGCAAGACACAGTGAGGACACTTGGAGACAACTGATTCCCTGGGGACCAAGTGTCCCACAGAGCAAGTCAGGCACACCATATTCTGCCCGCAGCTCTCCCCTAAAGCCAAAGGAAAGAGGGGCCAGGGAAGACGGTTAAGAATCTGCCTGCCAATGCAGGGGACACGGGTTCGAGCCCTGGTCTGGGAAGAGCCCACATGCTATGGAGCAACTAAGCCCATGTGCCACAACTACTGAGCCTGTGCTGTAGAGCCCCTGAGCCACAACTACTGAAGCCCGCGCGCCTAGAGCCCGTGCTCCACAATAAGAGAAGCCACCGCAATAAGAAGCCCTCGTATCTCAGTGAAGAGTAGCCCCCCACTCAATACAATTAGAGAAAGCCTGCGCGCAGCAGCAGCAAAGACCCAACGCAGCCATAAATTAATTAATTAATTTAAAAAAAAATTTAGGGCTTCCCTGGTGGCGCAGTGGTTGAGAGTCCGCCTGCTGATTCAGGGGACACGGGTTCGTGCCCCAGTCCGGGAAGATCCCACATGCCGCAGAGCGGCTAGGCCCGTGAGCCATGGCCGCTGAGCCTGCGCGTCTGGAGCCTGTGCTCCACAACGGGAGAGGCCACAACAGTGAGAGGCCCGCCTACCGCAAATAAATAAATAAATAAATTTTAAAAATAAAAATAATTGGGGGGGTGGAATTCCCTGGCAGTCCAGTGGTTAGGACTCAGCGCTTTCACTGCCGGGGGCCCAGGTTCAATCCCTGGTCAGGGAACTAAGATCCCACAATCCACCTAGCTCGGCCAAAAAAAATTTTTTTTTTCCTCTGTCCTTTAATTACCCTCAACCTCTGCTTTCAACTCACTGGAGAAGCCCTAGGGATGCTTTGAATAATAATTACCAGTCATTCTACAAAAATTAAATGCCTCTCACGCACCAGGTCTTATGCTAGGCATGGAGATGAAATGGGGGACAAGAGAAATGTGACCCCTGCCCTTATGAATGCTTTTAATCCAGCATGACACACATGGTAAGGAGTCACCATAAAGTGAGATACACGTTACAAAGGAAATATAGGCTTCTATGCATGCAGGAGTGAAGGGACTGGCCCTAGCCTAGGAGTCAGGGAGGCTTCTTGGAGGAAGTAACATGTGAACTGAAGGATGCCAGGAGGATAAACAAAACAAAACCTGGCTAGGCAGGGCCGGCGATGTGGGTGCAGTGGACAGAGAGACAAATAGCATGGATAAAGGCTTGGAGATAAAACACACATGCACAGGCATGCAATGCATTCAAGGAACTGCTATAAGTTTAATAAGACTAGAGCACAGATTGCAAAGGAAAGAGTGATGAGAAAGGAGACTGGAGAGGTAGACACAGGCCAAACCATAGAGGGAATTTATATCAGTAAGACTGTGTCACAAGTAATCATAAATCAAAGTGGCTAAACAATAAGATAATTTATCGGCTCATGCAACTGAAATGTCCAGATACGGGGCAGGGTGGGGGGGACTTGGGTTAGCTTAATCCAGCAGCTCAGTCAAATCACCAGGGGCTGCTTTCTACCATTCTACTCTGCCTTCCATGGTTTTATCATCTTAAGGCTGGCTTCCATTGGGGTTACAAGGTGGCTGCCCACAGTTCCAGAGGCTGTGTGTTTCCTCATCCATGTCTGGACAAAGTGAAAGTGAATTCCCTCAGTTATCAAATACTTGAGACAGGGAGCTTCACTCTGACTGGACCCACCTAGGTTGCAAACCCATCAAGGAGAACAGGGCAATGGCAGCCCTCTGAAGGCCATGTCAAGTAGTACTATGGACTTTATCCTAAGGGCAATGGGAAACATTCAAAGGTCTTAAATAGGGAGTGAGATTATATGTGCATTTTAGAGAGATCACCCTGGCTAGCTGGACTCAGCAAGACCCATTAGGAGGCTGGTGCAGTTACCCAGGTAAGAAGTGATGGAAGTGTGGACTAGGTTGAAAAATGAGGATGAAAAGTTTAGAAGGTAGAATCCATAGTGCTTGATGACTTGACTTTCCTTCAGACGTGAAGGAAAAGATGAAAGATGGCACCAGGTTCCTGGCTTAGACCACTTGGTGGAGTATGGAAGAAGAGGTTTTGGGGACAAATGAATTTGGCTAGAGGCCTGTTGAATTTGAGATACTTGTGGGACATCCAAGTGGGGATATCCATTTGGCAGGTGGTTATAGATCTGACATGGGGTAGTCCAACCTGGAGATACTTGGCTGTCATCTAGTATAGAAGCCATGGGAGTAAATGAAACTGCCTACAAAGGACATGAAGAGGGATATGGGCAGAAGACATGAGGGTCCCCAACACAAGGTCATTCCTTCTCATCCCGTGCACCCACTTCAGTTCCAAAATGGCTGATGGTGTAGTGGGCTAAATGGTGGCCCCCATAAAGATGTGTCCATGTCCTAACCCCTAGAACCTGTGAATGTGACCTTATTTGGAAAAAGGGTCTTTGCAGATGTAGTTAAATTAAGAATCTTAAGATCATCCTGGATTATCCTGGTGGGCCCTAAATCCAATGGTAAGTGTTCCTATAAGAGACATCCAGTAGAAGACATAAGGACAAGAGAAGAAGGCCATGTGAAGTCAGAAGCAGAGACTGAAGTTATGCAGCCACAAGCCAAGGAATGCCTGGAGCCACCAGAAGCTAGAAGAGGCCTTAGAGCCTTCAGAAGGAACAGGGCCCTGCCAACACCTTAATTTCAGACTTCTAGCCTCCAGAACTGTGAAAGAATAAATCTGTGTTGTTTTATGCCACCCAGTTTGTGTTAATTTGTTACAGCAGTCCTAGGAAAACAATACTGACGGTGAGCTGGGCCAGAACTACAGGTAAGTCCCTGTAGTTCCTGTACAGACTATAGACTACAGACAAGTCCCCAGCGCCCCAGAAGGGCTGTGATTTGTCTTTGCTTCCAATCCATATCTGGGGAATAGGGGGCTCTTTTTCCTCCTACTTCACCAGCAAATAGCTCCCTCCTCTGCAGCCCTGGCATAAGCAGAGACATGGCCCTCGATGTCTTAAGACACAGACCCTAATGACCAAAAACTTGGCCTTAAACAACCACAGAGAGGTCGTGTGTCAGGCCGGGGTGGGGGGAGGGGGGTGTCCTTAGTCAATCAGTCCTGAGTACACTCTGTCCCTGGGGAGACTCAGGAAACAAGACTCTGGGAGCTCAAACCTGTTTTAGGGTTTGGCAGACTCCTAGTTGCAAAAGCACAATCTTGGGTCAGAGTCCACATTCCCCACCCAGACCAGAGACATAGTCACACACAGAGACAGAGAGCTCAAGAAAGAGACAGCACCATGGAGAATGGCACTTGGGAAATTAGGGAGCTGTAACACAGAGAGAGCTGTACCTAGATGCAATCTGGACTCTGAAATACTGAGAAAAAGCAGCAGAGATGGAGGGGAGACACGTGGACACATAGAAGTGCCAAGGAGAATTGTACAAGGAGACCCTGACGGAGATCTAAAAAGGAAAAAGGTAGAAACATTCAAAACATTTGGAAAGAGGGAAAATGAAATAAAACTAAGATTGGTGTTGGAGAAAATTCTAGACATACAGACTCCAGACTTCAGTTAGCATGGTGTTTCTGTCCTCCATGCTTCCCATGACCTCCTCCATCTCAACTAGATTAGTTGTTACCACATTCTGTCTTGTCCAGGCCCATCCAATTTAGATATTACCATGTACTTTCCATGTGTCTGGGTCCAACCAAGGTTCTGACAACACAGCTGACCAAGACAATGAGCTGACCATCAGGAGTTCACGCTGGATCAGATTGCCACGGATGGCTCTTAATTTAGCTCCAGAAATGGCAACCTAGATCGTTAGGCTGACTACCTCCTAAGAAGACTGCTTGTTCAGCCATACAAGTTTTGGCATACAGTATGACAGTCACTCTGACAAGGCAGACAGTTTGGGGTGCTGTAGAAATGTGATGTCCTGCTCCTGGAATAATTGCGGTTTGACACACACAGGCCATTGACAATGGGCTCCCTGAGGGCAGGGAAGGCATTTAGTTTGGTTTTTCTCAAGCCCTGTCTCGGTGATCTGCAGAGAGAAAAATGATCAATAATAAAGTAATACTGAACAAAAGACAGACTCAATCAATCAAATACTGGACCCTGCCCTTATGGCCCTCGAGGCTATTAGAGCAGATATAATGTCATAAATCACCTTAATATGAATTGGATGCTAGACAAGGTTGTTAGTGAGGGCAAAGAACTGTGGTGGTTCAGAGGCACCAGAAATCTCTTCCTGTGGTGTAAAGTTGGTCAAGCAAGACCTCCTAGAAGAGATGGCCTTTGAGCTGAGTCTTTTTTTTTATTATTTAATTTTTATTTTATATTGGAGTATAGTTGAGTTACAGTGTTGTGTTAGTTTCAGGTGTACAGCAGAGTGACTCAGTTATACATATACATATATCCATTCTTTTTCAGATTCTTTTCCCATATAGGGTATTACAGAATACTCAGTCCTTGTTGGTTATCTATTTTATATATAGTAGTGTGTATAGGTTAATCCCAAACTCCTAATTTACCCCTCCCCTCCACCTTCCCCTTTGTAACCATAAATTTGTTTTCTAGTCTGTGAGTCTGTTTCTGTTTTGTAAATAAGTTCACTTGTATCATGTTTTTTTAGATTCCACATATAAGTGATATCATATGATATTTGTCTTTCTCTGTCTGACTTACTTATTATGATAATCTCTAGGTCTATCCATGTTGCTGCAAATGGCATTATTTCATTCTTTTTTAATGGCTGAGTAACATTCCACTGTATATATGGACCACATCTTCTTTATCCATTCCTCTGTCGATGGACACTTAGGTTGCTTCCATGTCTTGGCTATTGTAAATAGTGCTGCAATGAACATTGGGGTGCATGTGTCTTTTCAAATTATGGTTTTCTCCAGATATATGCCCAGGAGTGGGATTGCTGGATCATATAGTTGTTCTACTTTTAGTTTTCTAAGGAACCTCCATACTGTTTTCCATAGTGGTTGTATGAACTGAGTCTTGAATAATAGAAGGGATTTGGACAGAGGAGATAGTAAAGCTGTTTAACATGTTAGTGGGTGCATTCGTGCACAACTACTGACCTACCAGAGTGGAAACTGGTTGGGGCATTCAAGTGGGGTCCTGGAGCCCCTGCTGTGTCAAGCATTACTTCTTTAGTGAGTTCATAAGGTCAGGACAGTCCCTAGGGAGGAGTGGGGTAGCAGGAGCACCCTGGAGTTAGGGGCTAGTTACAAACCAGATTATAAATATTTCAATATATTTAATTACCTATACAACCATACTGGTGTGTGTACCTACTGAATGTTAGCCCCAGATAAGGATCTCCTGAGATGCCCTTACTCTCTTCTGGTTTGTTGAAGCCATAGGGGCCTTATTAGAATGTGAGCTGTAGAACAGCAGAGGCTGTTCTCCAGTTCAATGCTGCATCCCTAGGGTCTAGAACAGTGCCTGGAGGACTAGAGGAAGCTTACCAAATGTTAAGTGAATAGGCAGACTGGGAATCCCAGCCCATTGTTGGGGTCCTCTCACTATTCATCTCCTTGCACCCACTTTCCCCCTCCAATTCGTACTCCACACTACCCTTCAACATAACCTAGAATGAGATTTGGATTCTGTCATTCTTCTGCTCAAAGTATTTGGTGCCTCCCTTTTGCCCAGAATGCCATTTTCCCCATTTTTTTTTTTTTTCTTTTGGTGGTACGCGGGCCTCTCACTGTCGTGGCACAGGCTCCGGACGCGCAGGCTCAGCGGCCATGGCTCACGGGCCCAGCCGGATCGGGGCACGAACCCGTGTCCCCTGCATCGGCAGGCGGACTCTCAACCACTGTGCCACCAGGGAAGCCCCTCCCCCATTCTTTTTTAAACCAATTGAACTGCTACTTCTTTAAGCCCGGATCAAATTTTGCCTACTTCTGTATTACTTTCTGAGGCAGAATTCATCTCTCTCCCCCAAATATTATGATAATTTTTGCCCTCACTCACAAGACAGCAAGCTCCTCGGGACAGGGACTGCGTCTTATTCATTTCCATACATCTAGTCTATTAGCCCAATGCCTGACATATGGTAGATGCTAAATAAATAGAAGAGTGAAAGGCATTCCCAGCAGTGAGAACTAAATGAACAAAGGCGGTCAAAGGTTTGGGTAAAAAATGAATAGTTTAATTTGGCTAGGGTATGAGGGAGAGTAGTAGGAGAAAAGATGGAAAAGTCTCTTTGGTAGTATTTTGAGGGGACTTGGAAGTCAACTAGAGAGAGAAGATGGGCAGATAGAAGATACTTTGGTAGAGTGTGGAAAGCCAATGGAGGTTTTTGAGCAAAGGTGTAATATGATGAATAATACATTTAGTTTAAACCTATCAGACTCTCTAATAAATATATACAGTTTTCCATTCATACTCAAATTCGCCTCCCACCTACCCATCCATCCACCCTCCCACCCCCAGACTCCCCCCGCAGCTTGCCCTACCCCTTCACCTGCTCCCTGGCTGGGCCAGGGATGTATATATGGGCTGCTTCCCCTCTCAGCCAGAAGACGTGGGGTCCCCAGCTGCCTGGGACTGGGAAGCAGGCCAGGGTTAGCTGAGGTTGGCTGGCGAGCAGCCAGGCAGTGCCAGGGAGAACCTGTATAGTGCCAGGTGGAACCTGTATAGTGCCAGGTGGTGCCTTGGGTTCCAAGCTGAGCCCATGACCCTGATAACCTTCTGCCTGCGCACATACCTGCCGCTCAATCCACCCCATGCCCAACTTTGCTATCAGGGAGGGGGCACAGGGCCAGACAGACCTGCAGGGCTTTGGCTCCATCTCTACAAAAGGGCCTTCTGTGAGCCAGTCTGCTCCCCTCCAGGCTTGCTCCTCCCCCATCCAGCTCCTGTTTCTGATGCACGTACAGACCGTACACACCGTGTCCCAGGACATCCCACAGTCAGCCGCATGGCTCCCCTGTGCCCCAGCCCCTGGCTCCCTCTGTGGATCCCGGCCCCTGCCCCAGGCCCCGCTGTGCAGTTGCTGTTGTTACTGCTCCTCCTGGTGCCTGCCCATCCCCAGAGCCTGCTCTGGATGCAGGGGGCTCCCACCACAGGAGGAGATTCATCTGGGGAAGACGATCCACTGCGCGAGGAGGACCTGCCCAGTGAAGAGGATATACCTAGAGAGGAGGACCCACCTGGAGAAGAGGACCCACCTGGAAAGTTGGATCCACCTGGAATGAAGACTGAAGCAGGAGAGGAGGATTCTCTGAAGATAGAGGATCTACCTACTGTTGAGACTCCCAGGGATACTCAAGGCCCCCAGAATAATGCCCACAGAGACAAAAAAGGTAAGTGGTCATCAGCTCTGCAAATCTAGGCTCCAGGAGGTTGATGCTTCCCCTCATTAAACCCCAACCCAGCTAGGGATTATTCAGGGAAGGAGAGGAGCCTGTACTCTGATGGTAGTTTTTCCCAACCCCAGGGGCTCCCATGCCACTAGCCCTTTACCCCCTTTCAGAGCTAGATGGGGAGACAAAAAGGGGCACAGATGGAGAGAGGTAAGCAGGAAGAGATGGGAAAGAAGAAAGGGGGAGCCTGGAGAGGAGAAAGATAGGAATGTGGAGAGAAAACAAAGGTGGAGAGAAGTCAGAGTATGAGGGGAGAGAAGAGGAAGGACGGGGGTGTACCAGAGGAAGAGCAGGAAGGGCTTGTAGAAATTACCTCATCTTCAGCCTACAGATGAGGAAACTGAGACCTAGGACTAAGGAAACAGCAGGTAGGAGAACCTGGTATCTTGACTCTCAAAGCCAGGAACTTTGGAAAACGAGCTGGAGACCAGAAAGGGAACAGGATGAGTGGGGAGGAGGGATGAATAAGGGAGAAAAAGGTCTACTGATTTGGGCCTGGGAACTGAGGCCTCCACCCATTTTAGAGACCCTGAGACAGTGGTCGCAAACTGGTATCTCCGGGGCCAGCAGGATCTTTGTGTGGCCCGTCAAGCTGTGGCGTTTTACTTGGCTGCCATCTATAGTGCTTTACACCTGGCCTGCTTCAGGCATTTCTGTTACCTGCTATGCTTCTGTAAGACATCTGAATTTGTGAACCTCTGCTAGTGAAGGAGACCCACCTCCTTTTGGCCGCTGGGGAGGGACTGGGCTCAAAGATCAGCTTCATTCTTCTCATTTATGCAGGGGATGACCACAGTCATTGGCGTTATGGAGGTGAGACACCCACCCCCTGTACAGACCCAATGTGGGCATCCAGCTCTGCTAGTGCCTGCACCCCCCGCCCTCTTCCCCCGCATCCACGTCTGCCAGTCCCTGACACCACCCGCTGCCTCTCTCCCTCCACATCCCTTATTTCTATCTCCTGTCTGGATGCCTCCTGACTCGACCCCATCACTTTTTCTACTCAGCTTCCCTAAAAGTTCCTGATCTTGTCATCAAACTTCCTGTACATACTCTCCCACTCCAGGCGCTCCGCCATGGCCCCAGGTGTCCCCCGCCTGCGCTGGCCGTTTTCAGTCCCCGGTAGATATCCGTCCAGAGCTCACCGCGTTTTGCCCAGCCCTGCGACCTCTGGAACTCCTTGGCTTTGAGCTCCCGCCACAACCAGAGCTGCGCCTGCGCAACAATGGCCACACCGGTGAGGCGGTCTCGGGGCGGAGCCTCGGGGAAGGGGCGGAGGCTAGCTGGGGATGAGGGACTGTCCCTGGGAGTTAGGCTCGCGCTCTGCGGAGAGAGGGGCGGGCCCGGCTCACCTGCCTCTCACCGCGCAGTGCAGCTGAGTCTGCCTCCCGGGCTGGAGATGGCCCTAGGTCCCGGGCAGGAGTACCGGGCCCTGCAGTTGCATCTGCACTGGGGGGCTGCGGGTCGCCCGGGCTCGGAGCACACGGTTGGCGGTCACCGTTTCCCTGCCGAGGTGAGCGCGCAGCTGTCCGCGGAGGGTCGAAGTGGGGCGCGGGGTAGGGGATCTCGCCCACTCCTACCGTGTCCTCTCCAGATCCACGTGGTTCACCTCAGCACTGCATTTGCCAAAGCTGACGAGGCCTTGGGGCGCCCGGGGGGCTTGGCCGTGCTGGCTGCCTTTCTGCAGGTACCAGCCCTGGACACTCCCCACCCCTGCTTCCCCAAGCCCTCGGGCTCAGAGTATCTTGCCCCAGAGACCCCACCCCGCACCTGGCTATCATCTTCATTTACTCATTAGTTCTTTCATTAACACCCACTGTGAGCTGGGCTCCAACAAAAGATTCCGAAACTGTGGATCCTTGTCTCCCCACAGCCAGTGAGGGAGGCTGACAAGATAGACATATACACAGGACGCAGAGTCAACAAGGTAGTCAGGGAAGGCCTCACAGAGGAGGTGAAACTTGAAGCCTTCACTAGTGGGAAAGAAAAGGAGATATTCCACGCAGAGCGAACGGTACATGTAAAGACTCAGAATATGGCCCATTCGGGGAATGGCAGATGCAGTAGAATGGACATAAGGAAGAGTCATTTCTCTAATACTCTTATAACCCGTAATTTCCCCTTTGCAAAATGCAATATTGTCTAGAGAAGCATTTAGTGACCTCTTTGGACCTATACTGATCAGGAGTACATACACAATGATTAGAGGAGGCTAGTAGGTTGGAGGGATGGTGAGACACCTGTGGATGGTGAAACACCTGTTAGGCTCACTCCCTCCCTGACTCATGAACGCCAGCCTCACAGCGCAAAGTTCAGAGAAGCACCTTGGAAATAGCATGTCCTGGCTCCAAAACTCAAACACATGAATTATTAAGGTGAATGCAGAGCTAACATGAATACAAAGGTTATTGGGGTTTCCTGTGGTGGGGACATAGAATGTGTGTGGAGTTAATGATGAGTGAGATTGGAAAAGTAAGTAGAGCCCATCATTGAGAACCTTGTATCCTAGTAAAGTGACCCACCATCCTCCTCTTCCTCCAATTTGCCATTGAAAACTAGTCTGCCTAGTTACATCAGTTTGCAAAGTAGGAGTATATCGACCTTGAGTAATAATACATGAGATATTGTGTTCCCCCAGCGTTCTCAGAGCTGGGAACTGGGGGAGGACTATGGGAACCCACCTCACCTTCAGGCCTCCAGCCATGACCCTAAATACATGTATGAATCTATCTTGCATTATCATCTCCTAGGAAGGCCCCGAAGAAAACAGCGCCTACGAGCAGTTGCTGTCACATTTGGGAGAAATCACCGAGGAAGGTCAGTTTGTTGGTTTGGCCACTATCCTTGATACCCTTGTTCATAAAGAACCGCCCTTGGGGAGCCTCAGGTCTGAGGATGGAGAAGGGCTCCCTCCCACACAGAGGGGTTGAAATGTGAACTGGCCTACTGTGAACTTGATAATAACTATGAAGCCGAACACAGGCAAACAGGCAAAGGCAAACTGCTGGCTACAGGCTTTATGTTTAAAAACCAAACAGAAACTAAGATAAGACAAAAACCAAATAAGACCAAAAAAATAGTGTTTGGAACTTTCAGGGGTTGAGTCTGGTTGAGTCTAAAATTTTTCTGAGAGATGTCTAATACTCCTTCATAAGCATCAAATATTTTAAATTTGTAAATGCTTTTGTTGGAAATCTTTCTTTCCTTCTCAGTCACTCTAGGTCATTTTAAACCTCACTTGCCCAACTGGACCTTAAGTTTTGCTAAACTAGAGAGAACTGTGTTTTTTGAGTTTTGTGTCTGTTTTTAAAGTTATAGGTATTTATTTACAAGTTATTCAACCCATTTTCTCTTTTGATTTACTCTGGGCTTAAATCTGCATTCCAGCGTGTTATCACAGTGTGCAAACTAAGAGTGAAGACTCAGGGGGAGGGCCAGGGGAGCAATTCTCTCACTCTGTGCGCCCCAAAGCCTTTTACTTCCTCCTGAGTCATGTCTTCTTGTGCTGAGTTATGGGAAGGGACACACTCAGTGAAGAAGTGGTTTCAGGGAGTTGAGTCAGCTTGGCTTCTGGGAGATAAAAATGTATTCCTGTACCCCAAAGCTTTGTTGTGTGTATGGTGGGCGGGGGCGTCAATCTATGTGGGACTCCAGCACAGGTCCTCTCCACAGACTCGGAGACTTGGGTCCCAGGACTGGATGTATCTGCACTGCTGCCCTCTGACCTCAGCCGCTACTTCCGATATGAGGGGTCTCTCACCACACCCCCCTGTGCCCAGGGTGTCATCTGGACTGTGTTCAACCAGACAGTAAAGCTGAGTGCTAAGCAGGTGGGGCTGGGGTGTGGTGGTGACATAGGGGATGAGGGGGAAAGGGTTGTAGGTGGAGGTGAGAAAGAGGAGGCATAAAGAGATGAAGTGGCCGTGTTGGGGATGAGGGGGACGTGGACAGTGGGTCCCTGAGGTGTTGGCTGTAAACCTGTGACCCTTTTGCTTCTGTGTCATGAGCCCACCCCCACTGTCTGCTGACCTCCCTAGCTCCACGCCCTCTCTGACTCCCTGTGGGGACCTGATGACACTCGGCTACAGCTGAACTTCCGAGCTACACAGCCTTTGAATGGGCGAATAATTGAGGCCTCCTTCCCTGCTGGAGTGGACAGCAGCCCTGGGACCGTTGGGCCAGGTGCAGCTTTGTCTACTGATGCCATGCCCCCTACCCCCAGCCACAGGTCCCTCATCCTCCCCATGTGTCCTCATTTGTCTGTCACTAGTGATCACAACCCCTGGCTCTAACGTCTCCTTTTTCTCCTCAGTCCACCTGAATTCCTGTCTCGCTGCTGGTGAGTCTGTGCCCCTCCTCTGGTTCCTGAGGCTGGGGGCATCCCTTGGCACCGTTCAGCCTCAGGGGCTAGTCAGGACTACCACTGCTGCCTCTCTATTTCTGCAGAGCACACACCAACCCCAATAGGATAGCGTCAGATCAAGGCAGGGGGGTTCCCCTGTTGTCCCCAGTGCAAGAGTTGGTCAGAATGAAGCTCCAGAAATCTCCTTGCATCCTCCTTCCCAAACAACCTCTTTCGTTTTGTTTTTAGAGAGGAAAAAAGTGCTTATCTTACCCCTTCTTGTGTATCCACCCCCATCCCTTTGCTGGCCTCTGCTGGATTCAGAGACGCTGGGGGCAGCTGGAGAACTTGGGGCAGGGGTGGGGTTCAGGTGGAAGAGGCTCTGAGGGAACCCTACAGACTCCTCTTCTCTCCCTGAGGCAGTCTCTCTCCTCCTCCCTCCAGGAGACATCCTGGCCTTGGTTTTTGGCCTTCTCTTTGCTGTTACCAGCATCGCCTTCCTTGTGCAAATGAGAAGGCAGCAAAGGTATTTTACTAACCCTCTCCCTTAGGCCCAGCACCTGCTCCCCAAGTGGAGTCCAGAACAGCTTCATGCAAATTGCATGCAAATGAGCTCATCCTTGGTGAGATTTCTGATTAGGGTTCTCTGTTGTGTAGACACCCAAGTGGGACCAAAGGAAGTGTCAGGTACCACCCGGCAGAGGTCACAGAGACTGTTGCCTAGAGGCCTGCAACTTGGAGAATGTGCAGAGAAGCTGGCCAGAGGAATCTGAGGGGGAGCTGGAGACTTTGTCCTGCCCATTACACTACTTCCTTTTAAGCCTCCAAAGATATTTTTTTTTAATAAATATTTCTAATAAAATCTGTGGAAGGCGTATACTTGTTCCCCAAATCAACAGGATGGTGTGTTCATTTCCTATTGCTGCTGTAACAAATTACCACAAACAGTGGTAACGGAAATTTATCCTCTTAAGAGTTCTAGAGGTCAGATGTTCAAAATGAATCCTCTGGGCTAAAGTCAAGGTGTTGGCAGGGCTGGTTCCTTCTGGACACTCCTGAGGAGAGGATATTTTCTTGCCTTTTTCAGCTTCTAGAAGCCAAGCATTCCTTGGCTTGTGGCCCCTTCCTTGCATCACTCCAATCTCTAGCTTCCATTGTCACATCTCCTACAACTGCTTTTAACCTTCTTGCCACCCTCTTATAAGGACCCTTGTGATTATGTTGGGCCTACCCAGTTAACCTAGGACAACCTCCCCATCTCAAAATCCTTAGCTTAACTAAAGTCCCCTTCCCATGTAAGGTAACATTTCACAGGATTAGGGTATGGACATCTTTGGTGGGGGGACATGATTCTGCCTCATGTAGATGTTATCAGGAAGCAGGGAGAAACGACCGGTATTGTTGGAATGACTGTGTGTGTGGGGGGGGGCAGGCTTGGTCTCTAGGCTTAAAATCACACTGAGGCTTTTGGGTTTTCACCCTGCTCAAGTAAAAGCTATGTAGCTTTGCAGTTTTGCCTTCCAGTTGTGCTGTCCGGCCCAGCTGCTTGCTGGAATGGGGCAGTGCCGCTGATAGCAGCTCCTTTGCTCTGTGGGGAGTAAGGGCCAGATGTTCCCCCAGCCCTGCCAGGCTTCTCTGCTTCACACAGCCTGTTCACAACCCCTCCTCAGTGAGCCCAGTGCCCCACCCCTCTGGCTCACGCAGGGGTCCTTCCAACTCCACTCTTCCCCTGGGGCATCCTTTCTACCTTCTCCATTTTGGAAAACCACCACCACCATCCCCAACACCCAAGAAAGGCTTAAAGGGCCCCATGATACTGGTAACATCAGTTTTATTTGGTGGCAACTACAGCCTGGCTGGGGGCAGGGCCAGCCCTCACAGGTTGTTGAGCTCCAGCAGGGTCTGGTCGAGGGTCTGGTGGATCTCCACGTTCTCCTCCTTGGCACTGGCCAAGGTCTCTGTGAGGGGAAGCAACCCGTGAGGTTTGTGGGGGAGAAACATGGGGAGGCATGGACAGGGGATGTGACAAATAGACACGGAGTGGGCTGGAGGCACAGGAAGACCCAAACATTCAGGGATCTGAGGACCCTGTGGGTGGGACAAATGGATGGACTGAACAAGGCAGACAGGGATGCCTCACTCAAGGCTTTGGGGCCGTGGAGGTGGGATGGGAAGGCCTGAGTCATAAACTAATTTACCCTCCTTCTTTAAAAGGTTGAAGAGAGTTGGAAGCAGGAGGAAAGACAAAGACTGAGCCAGGAAAGGGAGTGTCAGACAGACAGACAGACAGACTTGAGGCAGAAAACAGACCTGCAGGGAAAGCCCCATGGTGCTGCCATCCAGTGTCTCTCCAAACTTCATCCCAGACCATTCACAACCTTCTCGCCCCTCCCCTGCACCTCACCATTCCACTTCCCTTCCAGTCATTCTTTTAGATCCTGGAATCACAGCTTGAATGCTCCAAGGGCAGTGACATGCCTGGGTCTGTAGAAGGGCGTGTGTCTCAGAGGCACCAGAGGGCCCGTGGTTGACTGACGTGGTCATACGTGCCCACATGCAGCAGTAAGAGTCATGCAGAGGGGGTTCCGGTGTGGGCCACAGTGTTTTGTGGGTGAGATCAGTAGAGGAGGGGGGGTCACAAGATCAGGGGTGCCCGTAGGAGCCAGGGTCTCAGCAGTGAACCAGTGCTCTGTGGGGGTGATGGAAGTGCTCTCTGGAGGGCAGGAAAACAGCGTGGAGACCAAGTTGAGTTTATTGAGCAGCAGAGAGCGGGAGAGGCTGGCGGGTAGAGGGAGGAGTGGATGGATATAGAAGGATGAAGCAAATGCCAGGGTGGGCAGCAGCTGTGACGGGGGCTCTCCTAGGCTGCGTCCAGCCTGGCTGTGCAATGTTGGCAATTTCCGCTCCTCCTGCTTGCCCCCCTCCCCATACAGAGAATGGAAAGGAGAAGAGAGAAGGGGCCGCGGGCCACACTGGTGAGAGGCTCAGAGGGAGGTGATGTCATTGAGTGCGTTGTCCAGCTCCTCGCTGATGGCCTTGTACTTCATCTTCTGTGCATAGACTTCGTCTGGGGGGTCCAGGGGAGGGGGGCCAGGTGGGAGTGTGGGGAGAGGGAATGGAGGGAAAGAGGAACGGAAGGAGAGAGGGTAATGGAAAGAGAGAACAAGAATCAGAGAGAGGTGGACGAAGATGGAGTGAGAGAGACAGGCCAGAGAACAGGCTGGACAGCTGTCAGGGCCCCCTCCTCCCCTCTCTGTACCCCTATGTCTTTTGCTCTTCTCTGTACCCCAAACTGGTGCTTCCCCCCAGGAGCTCCTGCCTCCCCCAGGGGCCTGGGGGCACAGTGCTTTGCATAAGCAGGAGTGCTTGCTTCAAGGGGAGGGCGCTCAAGCCAGAAAGTTCTAAAGTCCTAAAGTTGGAGAGAAAACTGAGGCTTGCCTGAGAAGGCTGGAAGCAAGAGAAGAGGGAGTTATGAAAGTGAAGTAAAAAGGAAAGACAGCTTTAGGCACAACGTTGTCGGTAACAGTGAGAAGTAGCTACAGACTAGCAAATCCCTGGATGCTTGTTTTCACCAAATCTAGCTTCAAAAAGTATTTTCCATTAATGTTATCATGAAAACCTAGATATTAAACCAAATACCTCTCTATTTAATGAAGAAGGTGCTGCACTTGGACACAGAATTGTCTAGATCAGTGCTACTCAGAGTGCGACGTGAGGACCAGCAGCATCTGCGTTACCCAGGGGCTCGTTAGACACAGGTTCAGCCCCAAGTCAGCAGTCGCTTCAGAGCAGCACCCAGGAATCTGTGTTTTAAAAACTCTGAGGGGATTTTCATGCTCGCTCAAGTTCGAGAAGCACTGGAGTTGACCGGGCTACATCTACTTGGATGGGAGGCACAGACCGCCAGAGTCTGTGGAGTCCTAGGTGGTCCAACCCTAATTTACCACTGGCAGGTATCATGGGATGGGAAGATAAGTCATGGGGAATATGGACCTATTTTAAAAGGTTCAGGGGTACAGAGGAATATCCCTTTTACCTTCCAGGTCATCAATGGTTTTCTCCAACTTTGCCACCGACCTTTCGGCAAACTCTGCTCGGGTCTCAGCCTGGGCATAAAGGCAAGATGGGGAAAATGACAAGAGCTTAGGCCCTCCCAGACGCTATCAACTTTCTCTTCCGTCCCTGTCCCCAAATTCCCTGCCACAGGAGGTCTCTGGCGGGTACTGGGGGGCTTGAGGGGGATTTGGACTGGAAGGACTCTCACCTCCTTTAGCTTCTCCTCCAGCAGTTTGATCTCCTCTTCATATTTATCTTCTTTGGTGGAATACTTTTAGGGACAGACACATGCCATCAGTTCATCGCCTCCACAAGTCCTTCATTTCTCCACGGAGCCCCACAGGCTACTCCTGATTTTGTCTCCATCAAACATCCGGCCCTGCCCTGCCTGGGCCCATCGCCTCCCTCCCCTGAAGGACCCCATCCTCACTGCCCCTCTACCCCCCTCTACCTTGTCCGCTTGGGCTTCCAGGGATTTCAAGTTGTTGGTAACAATTTTCAGCTCCTCCTCTAGGTCCCCACATTTACTGCAGGGGGTGTGTGGCAGGGTGGGGTGTGAGGGCACAGTGGGGGAGACAGTGGAGATGGCACAGTGGGGGAGGGGTGGAGGAGAGAAGAGAAGAGCAAAGTTGTGAGAGTGACAGCAGGCAGAGTTTAGGAGCCCCAGGCCCTTCCCGGCCCCCAGCAGGTGAGAGAGAGCAGCCTGAGATGGAGGGGAAGGTGAGCCTAGAGAAGGTGCCATTGCCCAGAAAGGTCCAGAGAGGTGACTACCTCCTCCTCTGAGGCCGTCAGGGACTTGAGGGCCTGGTCCATGGTTCGCAGTTCCTCCTCCAGCTGCCTGGCTCGGCTGGGGGCAGCAGGTAGGGGTCAGAGGCAGGACCTGTCCCTGTGGTCCCACGCCTGGGAAACTGCCTCCCCACTGTGCAGAGTGCCCCAGAGCCATGGGCTCAAGCCGAGTTTCACTTGCCGCCCTGTGGTGTCCTCACCTCTCAGCCACCTCAGCTCTCTCTTCTGAGCGCTCCAGCTCTCCTTCCAGGATCACTAGCTTCCTGGCCACCTGTGGGGATGGGGAAGAGAGGAGGAGGAGATCCATGGTGAATGACTGGGGGTGTCTGGGGCTTGGGAGTGAGAAGAAAGTGGGGCAGGGCTCTCACCTCCTCATATTTGCGGTCTGAATCCTCAGCGATGTGCTTGGCCTCCTTCAGCTGCATCTCCTGCAGCTCCATCTTTTCCTCATCCTTCATAGCTCGGTTTTCGATGACCTTCATTCCTCTGAGAGTCAGGGAGAGGGGCAGGGGTCGGGTTAGGACCAGCAGAGACAGGCTCCCAGCCCCCTCCGCGGCCCACCCTCTGAGGACGCCCCTGCCCACCTCTCGCTCTCATCAGCAGCCTTCTCAGCCTCCTCCAGCTTTTGCAGGGCTGTAGCCAGGCGCTCCTGCGCCCGGTCCAACTCCTCCTCTACCAGCTGAATGCGGCGGTTCAGGGAGGCCACGTCTGCCTCGGCCTGTGAGTCAAAGGTCAGAGGTCAGAGAGGCTTCAGAGGATGGTTAAGATTCTTGTCAGGACGAACCTAGGTTTCCTGACCTCCAGAATTTCAACCTATTTTTTTTTTCCCCCAAACCAACCATCTTCTGTGCAGACTCTGTGCTCCAGCCCAAAACATGCCCTCCTGGACAAGCTCCACTCCCCTGCTCCAGGGCCTCTTCCAGCACGGTGCATAATCTCCAATGGTTATCTGCACACAGATCCCTCCATCCCTCCTGAGAGCCCTCCAAATGCTGGGACCAGGTCTGAGGCAGCCCTGACGACTCCTCAGCAGAGCCTGGCCCAGGCAAGGGGTGGGGAAGAATCAGGCCAACCAGACTGCAGTGCTGCTAAAAACCGCCAATCACAGGATCAAGCTATGTGATGTCACTCGCTGCCAGGCAGACCCCTAGCGGGAGGCTCCGGAAGCAAGCCAGGCCTATTTAGGACACCCTAGGCTGTACCAAGGGTACTCCCTGCCAATGCCCGAGGCAAGTGAGGTCGGTGCGAGGGCAGTGTGAGTGGCAGATCAGCCACTGATCCTGCAGTACAGAGGCAAAATCATGGTGGTTTTGGAGAACGTGCACAGAAACAGACGATACCTTGAGAAAGAGAGGACAGAGCAAGAAGGGCCCCAATAAAGGAAAATGAGAGAAGTAGTGCAACTTGGTGTTAAGAGCGTCAGCTCTGAGTGACACTGTTGTCTTTGAGCTACTTGTGTGACCTTGGGTAACTTATTTAGTCTCTCTAAGCCTCAGTTTCCTCCTTTTTAAATTGGAGTTGACAATAGCAGTTCCTACTTTGTAGGCTGTTCTGAGATAATGCAGTGCTTCTAATACTGGATTAATAACAGGATCATCTGGGAGGTGTATAAAAAATACCAGGTTCTCTAGCTCCATGCTGGAGCCACTGAACTGAGATCTCCAGGGCAGGGGCTTGGAAATCTTTCCATCTTTTTTTTTTTGCGGTACGTGGGCCTCTCACTGCCGTGGCCTCTCCTGTTGCGGAGCACAGGCTCCGGACGCGCAGGCTCAGCGGCCATGGCTCATGGGCCCAGCCGCTCCACGGCATGTGAGATCTTCCGGGACCAGGGCACGAACCTGTGTCCCCTGCATCGGCAGGCGGACTCTCAACTACTGTGCCACCAGGGAAGCCCCTTTTTTTTTTTTTTTTTAAAGCTTCCAAGGGATTCTGATGATAAGCAATCTTGGGAAATAGTAAAATAATATGCAGAAAGCACTTGAATATGTGCCTGCAGAGTCCACACCCCATAAACGTTAGGTTATCCCTTGTCTCTCCCTCAAGGACAAAACACAGAAACCGCGAGATTTAGGATTGGAAAGGAGAAAGGACCAGTGTAGGGGAAGAAGAGAGTGACAGGGAAGAGATGGGTGGCAGCACTGGGGGTAGAGGGAGTAGAAAGCAGGTCCTGAGTGATAGTGTAGGGCAGGGGAAACAACACCATATATAGAAAGTAGTTGCAGCTTATCCTCCAGGTGCTGAAGGCCACCTAGAGTGACAAGAGCCCATCCTGGGCACAGGGCCATATGACTCAGTGTGGAAGGATTCTGGGACAGCACTGGGGTTGGTAAGAATGACTCTGGGGGACACTGGAGGTCTATTCTAGAGAGAGATGAGACTCTGCAAAAGGGAAACTCTTCATGGTAGTGGGGTGACAAATGACTGGAGAATCTGGGAAGTCCTGGGGCCCGCATCACAGGAATGACTTTTGCCATTTTCTGCTTCTCAAGTTCTTCCCAGTTACGGATGCTGCCCTCTAACTGCAGGACAGGCAGTGCTGTCCCCTCTGCACAAATAAGAAGCAAGAGAGAAAGGAGAAACTGAGGCACCGTGTAAGTTAAGTGCTGTGTTCAAGGTCACACAATAAGTTTGGGCACCGTTTCCTATCTTCTACTGGTGCTGCTGCCCTGCTTCCCCAGCTCTGTCCCTGTCTTCCCCTCCTCCCTCCAGCCCCCACCTAGCTCCTTGGGTTTCCAGTCCTTACTCCAGCTGCACTGGGCCTCAGTTATTTATAGAGCGTCAGATGCCCAGGGTCGTCTTCACTAGCAGCTGCAGGTCAGTTCCCTCCCAAGTGCCAGGGCTGGTGAAGAACCAAAACCGAAGGCTGGAGGTCAGAGAAACCAACCTTGGGGCTAGGGGGGGATGGGGAACAAGGATAATGGTCAATACGAACAGTAATGTCATCTCTGATCTTGGATGTTCAGACCGTGCGTATGCGAATCCCCCCATCCACCCAACCGCAGGCTCATCTTAAACTTAAGCCTGGGTGGAAGGCAAACGGGGAGCATGAGGCAGAGAAAGTACCATGTCCAAAGTCTGATGGCCGTCCTCCTACCTCGTGGGGGGAGGGGTTGGGAATGGCAGGAGGTGGAGAAGTCTGGTTAGCGGGCGGTGGGCAGAGGAATCTCCGAGTGAGCAGAACTTGCCAAGGTGGCTGCCGTGGCGTTTGTGGCTCTGTCCCTCTGCCCCGTGGCCTGGCATGGTCTCAAGGCCAAGAGCTTAATGAGGGTAAGTGAGGGACCGACAGAACCTGAGCTGGCGCCCCAGTGCACAGCAGGGCCGCTGGAGCCAGAAGTCAAGGCCAGGGAATTTCTAATGGCCCCCCCGGGGGTGTAGCTCAAGTCAGGGCCCCTCTTTGAACTCCCCTCCCCCTGCCCCGCACCCCGAAAAGGTAGCTGCAGGCTCCTTTCCATGTTCAGCTTGGGGATTAGTTGAGATGGATGGTAAATTCTTGTACCACCCACCCCCGCGGTGACTCATTGCTTGGTCACTGTACACGCTAAGAGCTGGAACCAAACGAAATTACAACACTGTGTCCTCTGGGGGAAGTGGGAAGTGGTTTTGATTTACCCACTGTCTTGGATTATTTGTGCCAGCTTTTGCCCTAGCCTGGGTTCCTGCGAGGAAACGGTTTCTGTCCTGGTGCTGAAGGTCCCCTCCGTCCCCATGTCTGGGACCCCTCCCAGTGCACTAACTCTCCCACCATCCCCCAGGTCCACACTCACATCGGTGGCTTTCTTCTCAGCCTGCTCCAGTTTCTCCTGGGCATCCTTCACTGATTCGGAATACTTTTCCACCTCGTCCTCCGTCCCTTTCAGCTTCTTCTGGAGGGCCTGCTGCTCCTCCTCCAGCTGGGAGAGAAAAGCCTCAGTCAGCCAGGCCCAGGCCCAGGCAGGAGGCAGTGGTGCGTGCGAGGGGGTACTAAGAGATATGTAGAGGCTGTCAGGGAGGAAGAGGGATAGCAGCAGAGGAGGGACAGTGCAGCCAGGGGTGTTGTAGGGACCTGGCGGGAGGGGAGAGAGAGCTTCCGACCCCAAGGAGCAAGGGCCATCATGGCTCTGCAAGGGCAGGAGTGGAAAGGGGGGCACCGGGGCTCCCCAGGCTATGGTGGGTGAGATGAAGCATGGCTCTGGCTAGGGCCCTGGGGGGTACCGTGAAGGCCCAGCAGCCCTCACACTGGAAAGTAGAGAGCCTTGGACAGCAGGCCAGAGGCTGGGGGGCACCGGGCAGGGCCTACCCCACCCGCATTGTGGGGTGGTGGCAGGGGATGCACCGGGCCTGGGGCCCCCACCTGCTTGCAGCGGTCCTCAGCTTGCTTTTTGTCGGCCTCAGCCTGCTCAGCGCGGTCGATGGCATTCTCCTTGTCCAGCTTTAGCATCTGCATCTTCTTCTTGATGGCGTCCATGGTTGCGGTGGGAGACCGGCCGGCCGGCGGGCTGTGGGGTGGACCGGGCTGACTGGGCTGGCTGCGCGAAGTGGTTGCACGGGTGGCAGGCGAGGAGGACCAACCGGGACTGGGATGTCCCAGCCGCGCGGGCGCCTAAAAGGCGCGGAGGGACCGGGCGGAGCCGGGGGCCAGGACCCTCCCCCACCGCAGCCCAAACCTTGTAGGGGCAGAAGCGCTGCAGGGTCGGGGGGCGCGGCCCCCCCCCGCGCCCCCCCCCCCCGGGGCCCCCCCCCCCCCCCCCCCCCCCCCCCCCCCCCCCCCCCCCCCCCCACGGCCGTCTGAAGGGAAAGTAGATGGAGAGTCTGTCGAAAGAAAACACCGTAGCGTTGCAGAGGGGAGGGACCCTGGGGCTGGGGGCTCCGCGCTTCTTCTGAGTGACAGCCCGGCCCAGTGGCAGCTGCGGCTGGGGGCCCTGGGGCTATTTCGGGGTTTGAGCTCACGGCAGCTGCCCGGGCGCAAGGACCGGAGTGTCCCCCCCATCGGCTGCAGCAGCCGCTGCACTTAATTTAGAAGTTTCCTGTAAATCCCCTCGGATTAAATGTCTCTTGGAAGGCGGGGCTCCTCCGCCTTTCGAGTGCCTCAGTTTACCCTGAGTCCCAGACTCTGGGTTTGCGTTACCGACGTGGCAGTGATAGCGGAGAGTCTCTCCAGGGACTTGGGGAAACTGAGTCAGGAGGGGAGCCCAGAGCCCCAGTCGCAGTGCGGGGCGAGGCCCGGCTGGCTGCCCCCGAGGGCGGGCCTGACCTCTCTTCCCCCTTCCAGCCCCTTCCAGCCCCTGCCTCTGGAGCCAGGGCCCCTCCTCCATAGTCGCGGGGCCTCGGAACCCAGCTCCGTGCCCCGCCTGCCCCACCCCCACGTGCCCCGCATATTTTCCACGGGGCTTCTGCCGGGCAGGACGCGGCGCGCTCTCCTCCCCCGTCTCCATCCCCTCCCGGGACGCGTCCCTCTGCGTCCCTTCCTTGCCCCGCTCCGGGCTCCACCGGCCCCACCGCCCCTCCACTCACCCCCACCCACCCCCGCTCTCGCCTAACCTCCCCGTGCGCCCTCCCTTCTCCTCCCCTTCTCCCGGCGGACTCTCCTCTCTTCCCTTGTGAGCCAGCTTTACGCTGAAATTTCTTTTCTGCCCTTTTTTGGGATGTTTCCCGTGGGGAGGCGGAGCCGGGCTGGGGCGAGGAAGGCAGGGGCGAGGGTAAGAGTTACTGAGCTGCTGGGCGTCAGGAGCTGGGGGTGCGGTGTCCCCTCGGACCGAGGCCACCAGAAAGAGCTCCGGGAGCTGGGGCCTAGGGTCGGGAAATCAGAGGCACGGTCGCCAGGCTGTTTTCGTTTTTCTCGGGGTGGGGTGGGGGGAGAGGAAGTGGAGAGCTGCCTTGGAAGGGGGGAACGGGGAGACCAGGCGGAGGAAGCCTTGCTCCCCAGGGGCAGAGGGGCGGGAGGCCTGGCTTTTGCTGGCGGGTCGGGAACCGTGGGAACCATGGGTCCCGGGCCCCGGGTGAGATGGGGGCGGGGAGGGAGGGGGCTCTGAAATGTATTTAGATCTGCTTAGGCGACTGCTGCTACACATGGAACAAAACTGATCTCGCGGTGTTCACTCCGTCTCCTTGTTTCGCCAAACTCTTGAGAGTCGCTTCCATCCACCCTGTAGCCAGTGCCAGACCCCTGGCTGGTAATCAAGAGCTCGCGTCCCTCACTTCCCACATCCACTTAATCCTGTAGGTTCTACTTCCTACAAATGAGGTTCCTCCTCTGAAGTCTCTGGGGTTGCCTTGGGCAGCTCCTTATATTACCTCCTGCCTGTGTCTGTTGTGGTCTTACTCCTGGTTCCCCAGCTCTCCTCCACATTGTTACACAAAAGTCTTTTTTTAAAGTTGGTGCAAATAGGACCCTAAAATCCTCCCAAACCCCTCCCTTCGCCCTCCCTCTTTTGATGGGAAAAATCCACATCTCTTAATATGGTATATAGGGCCCTTTGTTTTGGCTCCTGCCCACTTCTCTAGCTCTACCTCCTTTCATATCCAACCTCACCCCCAGTAAGTACACAGACTTGTACTTCTGTGCAGCATTCATACTGAGCTAAGTGCAGGAACTGGAAATCACCATACTTTTCTTGAAGCTTCCACCTTTCTCTTCTCTCTCCCTAAAATGCTCTTCCCTTGGCTGATTCCTGGTGGCTGTAAAGACCAAGTGGCAGCTTTTCTGGGAAGCCTTCCCTAGCCACTTGTCCCGACCACCCTTTCCACCTAATAGGTGCATGTTTTTGGTGAAGGCTCCTAACTGACATTCTCATAGTCCCTGTTATGACTGTCCTTGTACCTGTTTGCCTCCTTCACTGATCTCCAGAACAGGGACTGTCTTTTTCAATTCTGAATCCCCAGTGTAGCATAGCATCAGGCATAGAGTTGGCACTTGGTAAACATTTGCCTGGTGAATTTTTTGTGCACCAGGTTCAGAATTCACAAAGATACTATGTGGATCTAGGGGAACTCATGGTCTAGTGGGCCAATTCTCAAACTTCTTCATCTTAGAACCCCCATACACTCTTAAAAATTGAGAGTGGCGTTTGAAGATCCAAAAAGCTTTTGTTGGAGTCATATCTATCATATCTATCAATCTGTCAATACTTACCATATTAAAATGGAAACTAAGAAAAAATTTCAATATTTATTAATTCATTAAAAGTAACAGAAACAAACCCATTACACATTACCATGTTAACATACTTTTAATGAAAAATAACTATATTCACCTCCCCAAATTTGTGAGAGCATGGCAGTTATTTTACATTTTTGCAAATCTCTTTAATATCTGGCTTAATAGAGGACAACTGGATTCTCAAAATCTACTTGAGCTTTCTATCTGTTGCTATGTATTGGTTGTTTAAAGTACCGTATAGGAAGAGAATCTAGTTTCACACAGATACGTAGTTGGAAAAGAGAATAGTATATAGCTGATCCTTGAACAAGACAGGGGTCTGTGAAGTTGAAAACCCATAACTTAACCCTCTGTATGCTCGGTTCCTCAGTATTCATGATTCTGCAACCCTGGATTCAACCAACCGCAGATCACGTAGTACTGTAATAAACTAGTCCACATATAAGTGGACTAGTGCTGTTCAAACCCATGTTGTTCGAGGGTCATTGGTATTTGTAGCCTTTTTGTGTGATCCTGGATATTCTTCTTTGATGCTACATCAACACTTGACAGATGGTATGCTCTTAAGGGTTAGTTGCAATGAAACTATATCAATAACCTTTTTGTATAACGTTTCATTGTAACCAATTAGTCTGTATTGCACTTTGGTTGGATCTTTTACCCAGGGATAATTTTGTAACATCAAGCATTGGTCATTTGGAAAATGATTCACTGAGCTATGCAGATGTTTCAAATGTCAATACATTTCATTATATATTATTTAAAAAATCATGATGGTTTCAACAGAAAAGTTTAAGTGTGGGGAAGCTGTAAAGCTCATGGCAGAAACAAGTTTTTCTAAAATTCTAGTTTTCACTTGAAAGCTTGAATTGTATCATTGGCAACAAGTACCGTCAGGTTTTTCCCTGAAGTGACACACTCTGGTTTTTTGTATTGTTTTTCGAGAAAAGACCTGCCAGATACCCAAGTCTGATAACCATGGTTTGTCTGTCAGTCATTCCTGCAGGTAAATGTGGCGCTCCATGAAAAAAGCAGCTAGTTCAGCTCACAACTCAAAGAATTGTCTAGGTGCTTTCCTTTAGACACCACCGTACTTCGGTGTGCAGCAGAAGTGCTCTATGCATACTTCCCAGTTCATCACACAGAATATTGAAAAGACTTGTTGCTAAAGGACTAAGAGTTAATAAAATTAGTATTTTTTTACTGCCTCATCAAAGACCTTCTTAAGTAAGAAGCCAGCACTTATTTCTTAAATTGCTAGTGCATGGTGGTGCAGACTACAATGACTATTTGTAGTACAGTTTGGGCTACTGCCTTGATTTGTACTAAGGCAGTTTATCCACCAATGTTCTTGCACCGTCAGTGCAAATGTTGACACTGTGAAAAAGGAAAATAATGTCTTAGTATTATTATGAAAATAATCTTGACCTTATGGACCCCTGAAAGGGTCTTGGGAACCTCTAGGGGCCGGAGGGCCAACCACAGTTTAAGAACTGCTGGTCTAATGGGTATTCAAGTCTCTCCCCAGAAGGCTCCCTGAGGCATCACTAGTGAGAGGTACGTGATTGGTCACAATTCCTGAGGATATGGCAGGGAAGTGGTAGCAGGAGTCAGCAGCTGTCCTGGGCTCATAACTGGAGGAGTTCAAACAGTCTGGACTACCACTTGTTGGGGAAGTTTTAAAAGGGATTTGATCTCTAAGGTCCTCAACGATGCTAGGACATTGTATCCGGGGTTAGGGGGCCACAGCAGTACGTATTGCAGTTGCCAGTCTGCGTCAGAGAGGTGATAATACTGATAATACATCTCTGTTTTCCAGTGCTTAGCATGGGCATGGCTTAGTAAATATTGAATGAATTACTCACAGGCGACAGGAGTGATGGTAGGAAGTTGGCACCTCCCCTAATGGGCAGCCCTGGGGAGGACAAACTCATTCTGTCTACTTTAAACTTACTCTAATGGTATAGGATTAGAAGATGTCATGGCTTCAAGGAGGTGACAGGAGGTGACAAGAGTAGCAGCAGATGGGTGGTACTTGTGTTCTACTTGGAGGGAGAAGCAAGGAAATAACTGGGCCCCAGGGCTGGTTAAAGAATCATGCATGAAAGTAGCGGCAGATCCGAGAGGACTGCCAGGTGGTCCATGCAGTGTGGGCAGCGTGGGCAGCGTGGGCGGATGTGGAAGAAAGTGGAAGCACACAGCACCCAGCTCCCTGACCGCTTCCCTCCACTCAACCTACAGGTTAGCAGGGCAGCTGGAACAGGGCTGCGAGCACCCGCCTGGCCACTAGGGGAGCTCTGGTCTCTGATTATGCGGCCTCACACTTGGGTCCGGCTTTTTCAGTTACTTTTGTTCTAGTGCTATTCTAGGCCAGTGCAGCAGCAAGGCCTGGGAGGGCCTGGAAGTGCCCAACCCAGTCAACAGTTGAGCCTACCTGAGGCAGCCTCAGGTTGGATTTTTTGCTTGTTAACTGCCTCAACCAAATCTGTGGCCACAATTCTCTTAGGCCCAGACACTTGTATCCATAGGCTTACTGTTTTCAGCAAAGC